GGAGCATCTTCTGCCACATCGTCTGGATATTCGATGTCATCCGGATTTGCAGTGATGATGAAGTCAGCATCACTGCCAGATTCTGGAGGTTGGTCGAAGACAGCGGAGAGATCCGCACCAAGCCCAGAAATGGGCGGTAGTCCTGACCTTTCCGATACCAAAGCCCGGCTTTGATCGGGAGAGAGGGTCGCCAGTTCATTGCCAAGCAAACCGAACTTTTCCAGGTCAATGCAAAGCACTTCGCTCATATGATTCTCATCACTGTTGCCAGGAGCGGCGCCAACGTCAAGGCTGCATCCCAGCAGCCAGGCTTTCGTGCCACTAGCGTTGACTGTACAGTAATGCCAGCGGTACCCGGGCTTAAAAATCTCTTGCCCATCAGCTAGTTTCTGCCAACGAAGAGAGTCAAGCTCCAAAGATGATAGCTTGCACTCATACGTTCTGACTGTTTCGGAAGGGGTGATCAGGTCGAGGAGGACACCAGATGCATGAGCCTGAAAGTGGGTTCCAGCAGACAATGCTGGAACATAAGGACCGGATCGAAACTTATGACAAGAGATAGCTCCTGGGGCGATTGGCTTTTTCCGACCGGAGTTGCGAACTTGTACACTCCCAGAATTCGCCGCGTAGCTACCGGACCGGCCGGGCAGCTGCTGAGTTGGACTACTATACACCGTGTCTGGACTATGAGTCATCCTGTTGAGTATTCCGGGGGAATCGACGGTACCTTGCGAAGACGGGGTTCCAAGAAACGGCGAGCCCTTCAGATCAAGCCACCAAATATCAGTTGTACGTTCCATATCCGGGTCGAGGCCTCCGAATATCCAAAGACGGTCCCCCCAAACCCAGGCGGTGTGGTCGAAACGAGCTGTGAATCTCCAACTCCGGGACCAGGTCCATGTTTTCAGGTCAAGGTAGCATAGATCATCGAGAATCACATTGTTCTCTCCAGTAACACCGCCTATGATGAAAAGCTTTTCGTCGTGAATGACAGCAGCATGGCGCGCCCTTCCCCGCGGGATTTGTCCACGAATTTCCGGTTGAGTCCAGGTCGAAGTGGGGATATCGAGGATGACGACATCAGAAAGGTATTCGCGATGTTCGTTTTCTCCCCCGAAGACAATGAGTTTGTCGCCTTGATACAGAGTAGCAGTGTGTCCTATAAAGAGTATTGAACAAATTAGCGGAACTCAAGAAAGGCATCTGGTATGAATCGACCAACCCATGCGAACACCGGGAATATCGCCATAGTTATCCACAAGTTCCCAACGAAGTGCTCTCAAATCTAACCTCAGGACATGGTTGTAAACTATTTGAGTTCGAACGTTAGCATAAGAGATGATGCTGAGGTTCAATTAAACTGATAGAATAAAATCAATATCAACCTTCGTCTGTGAACTGATCAAATCCTCCAAATGCATAGATCTGGTCATTGTTGCAATACGTCACGGATGCATTGACCAAACATGCAGGAACATTGCCTTGGGCTTTGCGGATGACGGGGCGATAATCCGTGCTACCACGGCGACCTCTAGCTGGACTGGTCGGCATGAGGTACGCGCTCTGTGGTTTCTGATGAACTGAGGAAGTGGGAGTCATCGGATTGGAACCTCTTGATGATCTGATCCAAGACGGTGGGTCCTCGCGGAATTGGGTGAAGACCGGGGTGGATGTAGTATTACTGGTAAACGTGGAGGGCGGCTGCCGCGCCATCAGGATCTCCAAAAGGGCGAAGTTCTATTGCTGTCCACACAGCAGTGGTATGATGTGGKAATAATTGAAAAGTCGATAGAATTAGAGAGGTAGATTTGAATTTCTAGAGTTACTCAAGAGTCGGCCGATCGAGTGCCTGACAGGATTTTGCAATGACAGAGGGGAAGAAAAGTTAAAAACGAGCGCCAAGACGATCGGCGCCCAACGAAAAAGGAAAGAGCCGCACGTCATGTGGACGCTTAACCCAATCAGTGTTAGAACAGCCGTACCTCAGGTAACCGTTGCCATGGGAGAAAGAACTATACACTGTATTTATTCCCCTGGATCTCCTGCTCTGCTGCTCTCAGAATCCATCTTCCTTTTGCATTTTTCTCAGTTACGCTCGTATCTGATATTTGCTTGCATAGTATATGATTCGTTTTGTCGGTTTATACTTGCATACACTACCATTTCGTTGCGTCTTAGACCTACATCCTCATTGAATGACCGGATCTGGCAATTGAGATCGAGAAAGCATTTTCTCCTCTTGAGCACGTTCTAATATATCATTCGTTGGGGATTACAGATTACAAACATGGCTACTCCATTGATATCGACTCCGGTGAAGTCCCATCACGGACTGTTTTCATCCAAGACCGCTGGCGGTCGCATGCCTCTCACACCATCTCCCCACGCAAGACGAGCGAGCGTGGCATCAAATCATTCATCTCCCTTCACGCCTCCTCGTCAATCGGCAGATGCTGCGAAAGACAGCAGTCGCTCGGTCTACGGCGGCAATCTGTCCTCATACTTTGCTAAATCGGTCGCGAAGACATCAAAAACTTACCGAGAATCCCCCAAATCCAACATTGCGAGGACGCGCAAGTCACCAAGGCATCTTGAGCTTGGTGTTTCGGACTGGTCTTTAACCGGCACAGGTCCCTCGTCGGGGCAGTCTCCGTCATCGAAAGAGCGGGTGCGGAAAGAAGTTTCTGCTCGCACAAGGTCGAGCAAGACCACCGTTCGCATCGCTCACAATGCTGGTGACAGATTCATTCCCAACCGGTCCGCAAGCGAAGGACTGACAACAACTGGGACTGCCAAACCCGAGGAGAACCAGCGGCCTAAGACGGGCAGCAGCGAAGGATCCGCCGTCCTTGCAAGTGCTGCGAGCGCCTTTGACATTGGAGGTCGAGGAGGTGAGGATGATCTGACTGCTGCTCTTGAAAATCTCGGTCTCGAGGACAATGACAATCCAACAACGTCGTACACCAAGCCCGCACCCGATGCCGTCGCCTACGAATCGTCGCTCGCTGACGCCTGCGGCGTCAATTTGAACACTCGCATCCTCGCCTTCAAGCCACCACCTCCAGAGTCGTCAAAGCCAATTGACTTGAGAGCACAGTACAATCGTCCATTGAAATCAAGCAAAGCCAAAGGTTCCCAATTCCGTCGCAGAGTTCAGACCGCGCCTGAGCGTGTATTGGACGCTCCTGGTCTTCTTGATGACTACTATCTCAATTTGCTGGACTGGAGCTCTGGCAACCAGGTTGCTATTGGTCTTGAGCGCAATGTCTATGTGTGGTCGGCAGATTCTGGATCGGTCAGTTGCCTGCTAGAATCTTCCCCAGACACATATGTAAGCAGTGTCAAATGGAGCGGCGATGGCGCATATGTTGGAGTTGGTCTCGGCACGGGAGAGGTGCAGATCTGGGACGTGGAGGAAGGTACCAAGCTTCGAAGCATGTTTGGCCATGACTCCCGTGTTGGTGTGATGGGCTGGTCCAAGCACACATTGTCGACCGGCGCGCGCAGCGGTCTCGTCTTCAACCACGATGTTCGCATCGCTCAACACAAGGTTGCAGAACTCGTCTCCCACACCTCAGAAGTGTGTGGTCTCGAATGGCGACCCGATGGGGCTCAACTCGCCACCGGCGGTAATGACAACCTCGTCAACATCTGGGATGCGCGGTCTCTAAGTGCTCCCAAGTTTACCAAGACAAACCACCGCGCGGCCGTGAAAGCTCTGAGTTGGTGCCCTTGGCAGTTGAACCTGCTCGCGACTGGTGGCGGCTCGTACGACCGTCACATTCACTTCTGGAACACCACCACCGGTGCCCGGACCAACAGTATTGATACTGGCTCACAGGTCACCAGCTTGAGATGGAGCAACCACTACCGAGAGATTGTCAGCTCAAGCGGATTTCCTGACAATTCTCTGAGTATCTGGAGCTATCCCACCCTGGTCCGTAACGTAGAGATTCCGGCTCATGAGACCAGAGTTCTTCACAGCTGCCTGAGCCCCGATGGTCAATTGCTGGCCACTGCCGCTGCTGATGAGAGTTTGAAATTCTGGAAGATCTTCGAGCGCAAGCCTGGTACCAGTGCCTCGGCATCTCGGGAAGGTGGCGTTGGAAGCAAAGCTCAAATGACCAAGTCTATGACCATTCGGTAGATTCGCTCTTATATCCTGACTTTATGTTACATTTTTTTGTTTGGAGGATTTCGCATGCGAGGCGTTCTGATGGGTGACTTCTTATCTTTTGGTTTTCTGTATAGAGACTGCGCACTAATGCTACTAACATAAGACATAACTCACCAATTTGTAAGATCTACTTCACTTTGTAGAAGCGACTGATCCTGGAAGCGAGCCTACCATATCCACCAGGCAACCTGTTCAGAGTATGGTATCAGACATTGCTCAGGCTGACTATAGGGAGATGATGACGAGGTCACTCAATTCAAAGGAAACCACTATTAGTTTAATTGCTCACTGTATTACTTTAAAAGAAGAGTTAGTGAATTATTATTCTACAGAAGATGAAGATGAAGTGAAGCATTCATCCCTCCCAGTTGTGGCCATGGTTCACTGGTTTGTGAGTGGGCGGAGATTACTAAGCACGCCGAGAGGAGGACGGATTTCGCCCAGGCAGAGCGACTTTGACCTCAACCAGAACCCTACAGTACGCTGCGTTGCCCTCTTTTCTCTACCTGCTGATTTACCACCAGAGTGGTGATTTCTCGATATTTTCTGGTCCTCAGATTCGGAGTCATTGCAGGAACACATACGATCCACAAGAACAATTTCATAACTTGGAGTTGCTTAGGTGTCATTAGCCGTCGGGGTTGACCGGTCGCATCTTGGCCGTGGCAACTGACCGTTGCTGCGACGGAGGTTCAGTTCTGATAGACCAGTGGAACACAACGCCTTCCCTGCTGGACTTGCTAGTATAGAGAACAGGAACAAACGAAACAAGAAGCTCTGATCTACGTCTTCTCATCCTTGAGTCGCTCTTATCGCCGCAACCATGTCTAACCAGCAGGTGGTGAGTGCTATCTCCAAACAGCCCTATCTTACCTGACCTGGGACACTCTGGAGATCTTTGCCCTTGCCATGTCTCTTGTTCTTCTCCTTCTCTCCGGGTGATAATCTTCAGCCCATACTTTGTGAGGACGTTGGCTTATACCAGATGATGTGCAGGGCACGGTATTTGACCGTGTCATCCAGGAGGTCTGCGATGCTTCTCAGGTCGATTTCGAGGAAAGTGGGGTCGATCAGCAAACGCTATTAGACTTGCGAAAGGTGGGTTCAAGATATCTCTTCATTCTGTGATGATTTTTGGATGGAAAACCATCATCATGCCCTTGATTCCCAGGGAGCGGTGTTCTGTCGTGATCGATCCCGACCCAAGGCGGGGGTCCGAGGATTGCGGGAGGCGGCGCTGCTTCCGGGGGAAGCACCAGCTTTTGAGTCTCTTTATACCGCGCCGCTTTTACCCGCTGCTGTGGCCCGTTTTCAAGAGGGGCGCGGTTAGTCCGCCAAGGCCCGCGCCCACTTAACAGTTAACTCTCAGTAACGGCGCTATCTCTTCATCTAATCTTACTGTTTTATTTGTTTGTTTTATTTTTTTATTTTATTTCATTTCATTGCATTGTCTATTTCTTTCTGGTGCTGTTGCCATCATTATTATCTCTATGACATCTTACTGAAACTATATCCTATAGAGCTGGCAGAAAAAGCTCTCGTCGCTTGGTGTCGCCCACTTCCCTTGGGATCCTGCACCACCACAGCCCGCCCCTCATCAGACTCAAAACCAAATACTCCCTCCTACTGCTCCTGTGCCTTCCAACGCTCCTCGACCCGCTCCTCTGCCACAGACACAGCAACAACATGTTCCGCCCCAACAACATCTTCCCCAGTCCCTACCGGGAACTGTACCTCCGATGCAAGCGCCTGCCCCCGCCCACATGGGTCAGCAATCTCACATCAAGACCGAACCGGGCCTCAATGGGCAACCAGGAATGCGTCACATGAGCAACATGATGTCGGCTCCTTCCTCAAATCCTCAGTCGGCACGTGAACGTGCTGCCAATATGCTTCATCAAAGATACGGTGCCGCAGCAGCTAGCTCGGTCAGTCAGTTGCAAGCGCAGTCTCACGCATCTGTGGGAATGCCAGGACAGCAGCGTCCTCAGTACCCCGCACAGACGCCCAATGGACAGACGCCGGCGATTAAACAGGAGCCGAGCTATCCATCCGCCCCTCAACCCAATATGACTAACTCTCAGACGGATGGTGCAGGTGGCGATGCTTTATCAGATTGGAAAGCGGAGGTTGCACGGAGACGCGAGGCCGCAGAACGCCAGAGCGGTGAGGGTGATCGAATTCTACGCGAACATTTGAGACAGCGCATGCTTCAATTCGAGGGAGGTGGACTACTTATGCCTCTAGATCAGCGTCAATCCCCAACATCGAGACGGGAACCTCACCTTACTGATGCCCACGCTGCCGTCGAAATCACGTCTATTGCGAACTCTGCGCAGCCTCAGGCGCAATTTGATGGCCCTGGTGGCGATGATGACAGGGAGGAAGAGGACGAAGATGCCATCAATTCCGACCTCGACGATCCTGACGACCTGGTTGCCGAGGATCATGATGCTGAAGATTCTGTTGGACAGGTCATGCTCTGTACATACGATAAAGTGCAGCGCGTCAAGAACAAGTGGAAGTGTACTCTGAAGGATGGTATCCTAACCACAGGCGGCAAGGAGTAAGTCCCAAAAGCCTTGGTTTTGACCAAAGCGCAAACGCTGACTCAAATAGATACGTTTTCCACAAAGGTCAAGGCGAATTTGAATGGTGATCGGCGGCTAGCCTTCGAGTAAGGTTCCAGCCTCGGAATGCGCATCTTTTCTTCTTCGCCTTGAGCTCTCTAGTTTCCTTTCACTTGACCTCGTAAAACCCATTCGCCAGAATGTCCCACATGATATCGCAAACGGGAGAAGGAACTCTGAGAGTCGGTCATGTTGAAATGACACACCCTGGACGGTACGGTGCAAGCGGAAATTTGCTGCCTTGATTTTTCCGGTGATCTCATTTTATGGAATTACAGCAGGATTCATCTATCTCACAATTTCTCCATTGATTAAACGATACTGCGCTATTTTCACCTGCTGTGCACGGCGCTCCTACTTGAGGATGGCTGTTTCCTGACTTTCTCTGTACTAGAATAATCAATGCATCCAGCAATTCCGATGGTCTTGTTCTCTCTTATGCCCATAAAACTAGTTTCGCGTAGATATTACACCTTATGGCGGATCGAGTCTAGTTTTACCATACAGACAGAAGTATCGGGACGAACTGGCCAGCTAAGGTAGTCATAGTACCTTAGCGAGGAACCATTTACAATTCCTTCAGTCGAGTACGTAGAGACCGGAACAGAAAGCAGCTTGCTATTTTCAGAAACTTTTCCTGGTTAACCTAGTGCTACAACCAAAATCTCATAATGGGAATCAAGGAGCAGAGAAAGAAAAGAGACTCTATCAAAAAGCAGACCAGCATAAAACTCGCAGGACGGATAACGAGACTCCAACAACACCTCAAAGAGATAACGGCGCAGAATGACAAAAAACAGCAACAGCAATAACGAATCTGATACCCCTATCTACAGAATCGACGCCATGTACCGAGACTTTTTTCTTCTTTTGTCTCCAGGAATTCGACACCCGCATTTTGAAAGCCAGTCAAAGAAATGCTTCGAACAATCCGAACCCAGAATGATGTGCTCGACCTGTGTGAGGACAAAACCTAAAACAGCTGTATTTCCAATTTGTCGCCTGAGACCGGTGCATTATTATCCTTCTCCAAATGGTAGAAGTAAGACCAAAGGGCGAGTTTGAGCGAAAGAAGCACTGATCGGCGTTCAGGAGGCCACAAAATCCGATATTTTCCTCACCAGGGACTGAGCCAGGACCCTTGATCAAAACAGGCCACGAGAAGTCTTCGAAGAGCAGGTCTATTAACAATCCATGACACGGCAGTCTAAGGAACCGCTAGTCATTTGAGTAGGACATGACGTTCATACCAATATTAACTCCAAGCCACCGAATCGGTCATTAAATCGTATGTAGTGCAACGAGCGCCGTGATGTTCATCGAGTCAGATTAGCGTAGAGAGATAGAAGGATCGCTAATATCGCAGTGAAAAAGCACTTCATAGAAGACCTTCTTCACCGATACCGGGGAGGCCAGCCCCAGCCACATTGATGTTCTGCCCCTGCATAACACCTCCACCAAATGCCAGATTGCGACCTGCAGCAAGCTGGAAATCGGGGTTGCATGGCGGGGAATGGGATTTGTGGTACTTGAGACCGTTCAAGTTCTTGTAACGCTTCCCACAAACCTCGCAGCGGTACGGCTTCTCCTTTTCCATACCGAGGGTCCCGGGATATGGTGTTGATGTCTCTGGGTTCACGATTGAGAAAGTACCATCTGCGTTATCATGCAATTGTTGATTGTTGTGACCATGCTATAGGCGAAAGTATTAGCGACCAAAGCTCCATACCAAACCGTAACTTTCCAGACAGAGTCACTTACAGCTTTGTGATACTTGAGACCGTTCTGGTTCTTGTACGCCTTCTCACATCCAATGACAGGGCATCTGAAGGGCTTGGGCTCTTCGTTGGGAAGCAAAACTGTGGTGTCGGGGACACCCGCCAGCAGCTGTTGCTCCCGTATCCGTCGAGCGATTTCGCTGTTAGGACCATATTGCGCTCCACTGAGCTTGAAGTGCGCATTGGAAGTATTGATCCCTCCGGTAGGGCTGAAGAGACGCTTCGCCGGTTCGTCAATGCAAAGGTCCACCATGTCATTGTTACCGGCAAATCTGAACTGCGATTGACCCTGTAGCATAGCATTGTTCTGCATACCAAAGTCGCCGAAACCACCGATCACGCTTTCATCGAGTTCTGCAGGAGTCCCAGGTGCCGAAGAATCCGGTGTGTTCCTGAACTGTGAATTCTGGAGGGGATTCGCCATGAGCGTTGGTGTGTTAACCGAGGAAACTGTAGGATTATTCTGCAATGAAAGTGGATGGCCAGACGGAACTGGCGTTCCAGGCTGAGAACCTTTGAAGCCCTGATGACTTGGAAGCATGGACAGATTGAGCTGGGGACCTCTCTGATTAGAATTTCCGAATCCACTTTGCGTGTTGTTCTGCGTCTGGGGCGAGAATAATTGTGAGGCTGTCGGATCGCTGTCACCCATAGCGTCATCCAGCTCCATATCGTCGATAGTGTCGAGGTCAGAGTGTGGCTGAAGCGGCGGGTTCGGACTCAATTTTCGCTGCATATCCCCACCTCTGTCCGCTTGTAGACCTCGACCTTGGTTGTTCATTTGTTGGTTTTGTTGCTGCGCCATTGCGGCAGCAGCAAGCGCAGCTCGTCCATCAGTCTGGCTTGGACGATGACTCTGTTGAGGTGACTTCGTAGCATGCGCCTCTTCGTAGTGCTGCAACAGATCATGAAGAGTGGGGAGAGTGATGCCACAGCAGGAGAAATCCCGCATGAAGTTGGCTTCCAGTTTGGGCAAATAGGAAGAGGAATGGAAAGAGGGAGACTGTCCGAAAGCGAAAGGCGAGGTTCCAGTCATAATGATACTAAGGAATGGGAATGTCAGTATGCTGCTCACTGAAATCGGAGTTGTGCCGCAAAATCGCAAGAACCCCGCCAGAACTCTACATTAGACCTGTCACTCACTCGTCACGTATCCAGCTTCCAACAGAGACACCACCCCAGCTCATACCACCGACCAAGCTTCCAGCGAGCGACTCCCGACGAGGTTTATCGCGATTAGACCCCGCCATGGAGATTGGTTTCGTTCCGTTGCCCCATTGTGCGGAGGCTGCGCTGAGAGAGTCCTTGCGGGGAGGCGGGGCCTTGAAGACATTGATGCCGATGCCGCTGGGATGAGAAATGCTACCTGTGCGCTCACCAGTTCCAGCTCTCTGTAGGGCAGACGTAAGATTTGACGCCTGCTGTCCCGGAGGAGAAACTGAGGTCTGGCGAGTGGCGATATCGATGGGAGCAGCTGTTCCTGTCATCTTGCCGAAGGTGAGGGGAGAGGATGAAAAGAGCGGGAAATCAAAGTCCTCTTTGAGCTGTGTTCGAAAATCTTGATGATCGTGATGAGGTGAATGAGTGTCGTCGGTGTTCAGTGAATTTCCAGCCCACGGTCTACCCAAGTCCTTTTCCCTGTCCGGTCTGCGAGACGGTACGCCAAACCCGAGGGGGGTGGTGACAGGTGTCGTATCCCGAGTAGAGGCGCGATCGTATTCTGCGATAGACGGAGAGTAATGAAGAGAAGGAGGAGAACTGAGAGTTTCCTCTGATGAGCCGAGCATGAAGAAGCGATTCTCGATGGCGATTTTGGGCGGGATCACACAGGGTAGTCCACCCTCGGATGTCGTCCCGCTCTGGCTTACTGGGCCTGCGGAACCGCGACGAATTCGGGAAAAGTGGCGGGAGGTGGTATGTCCCCGAGGAAACAAGCCAGAGAAGTAGACAAATAATGCTACGAAGAAGGATTTAGACTGAATCAAAAAGGACGAAGGATAATATGATGGTAAGGATGATCGAGGGAGTCTGATGGAAGTCCTAAGACGGCATTCCTCCAACAGTTATGGCTTGCCAAAAAGTAACAACTGGCCAACTAGAAGGCTTTCGAGGACTAATAGTGTATTTAATCCTCGGTACGGTATGTATGTACGCCCTGGTATTTGCTCATGTTTGGTACGTAACGTAAGCGCAGGACCTGTAAATTACGCGGGTCCAATGATTCATACTTGAGCCAATCTGAAACTACGGTGGGCAGGCCATGATCTGAGTGGTAGGGATCTCAGGTTAAATGAAGCCATGAATGGGCAGCCAAGGCTTCAGGGACACGGGGGCAAGCGCATGAACTTCGAATCATTTAAACCTTACTAGCTAGTCTAGGCATTCTTCTACGTAACCGAATGATCCACAGAACTACAGATTTGTACATCTGATTGATGGATCCGTCGTCCTGCCAGTGGACCGTTAGACGCAGCAGTATCAATGGTAGGCGGTGGAAGTTGGGAGATGCCCAAAGCCTGAGGTACCCTAGATTATGTACTGTAATGTTCTGGTATAAGTAACAATCTTACGGCCATAACCAAAAGTTACCTGATCTTCCAGTCTACAACGTAATAATATTGCCCTAGCTACGTTGTGCTTGCGACACTCGTACATCACTCTAGCACCGTTTAACAGGCAGTGATCATCAAGAGCAATAATGCAAAATTAGCAAGCATTTCAATTTCACTGCTCAGTCTGAGACGAGTTGACGAGAATTGGACTACGAAGCATTACATATTAGATAGTGAATCATCCAATAAGGAGGCAATGAGGGAGCCAGAGCGTTCCGTGGTCTACGTAGAAGTACACAATCCTGATATAGATGCCGTCTACCTGTCTAGAACGAGCACTGGGCTCCGAAGACGTTGTCCTCGGAGAAGGTTACTCCAAATGTGATGTACATGAACGCCATTGGGCATGCTGATTGGTGTTGCCAAGTTGTGCAGCTTGTGCTCAATAATGAGCGATAATTATTGGAGTGTTGTTGTCAGGTCTGAGAGACTCAAACTCGACCGAGACTCACGTTATCCTTCTTCCGTGCCTTGCGTTGTTTCATTGAGTATACGGGCCCAGGTGCTTCTGGCCATCTGGAGTTCAGGCGAATGGGTTCGAAACCTTGATAGAACGCTAGAGGTGCTCAGTCAAGGTGAGTAACCTAGAGTGATGACTTCGTCGAAACTTTGTCCCCCGCTCTAGCAACGTTTTGATGACATCAACGGATCATCAACAACATCATTATCTGAAAGGAGTTACTCCGAGACAAATGATGATCTCGATACCTCTCATATTGCGAGGATAAAAGTCTCCTCGGAACTTCTCTTAACCATGATGGGGACGACACATTTTGAGACATGTCTGAAACGGGAAGGAGAATTTCCATTATCAAACCATTGTATGACTACTCTCCCTTTCCTGCAGATGATCAGATCATATGACTTCCACAGGCCATTGCTTGACCTCTATCTCTCTGGGGCGATGAGCACACTATTATTTATCATCAGCTAACTAGAGAGGTTAGTACTAGCCTAGGCAGTAATTTGTTCTGGAAACATTCTAACACTTTGAACCAGAAGAATGGCCTCTTTTGTGGATCCCTTAATAATCACTGATCCATTCAACCGGTACGTAAGTACCGTAGATCACTTTTCTGGTTTCAAAGAAACAACCAGGGTGTATTGGACTTTGTAAGGTACTGGCAGTCATGTTAAGATAATGTATTTCTACTGACTGACCGCCCTAAGAAACAACCCGACATTACTCCGTACTCCGTACCTCACCATAAATTGGAAATTACAGATTGCCAGCCACCGAGGCTGCACCGCCTTCCGAGCTCAGACTCACCGCCTTTGGAACGCCACCGCAATCATGCAAACAATGCAAAATCTACTATCTCCGTCATCTCTGACTGGAATTTTTTGTATTCAAGCAATTCGATAAGCCTTTCCAGCATAGGCTTGAGTCGGACCCGATAAGCTCAATTTGCGATTCTGAGCATCCTCCGGTCTGATCAATATTCAGCAGCGAGAAGGGAAGACTGCGGACTTGGGATTTCGAATTGTGCAGGATGGAGCCCACCGCCCAGACACAAACCGTGGGGGTCACGCCCAAGCATGACCTCGAGAACGGTGCTTCGGCTGCTGCCAACAATGAAGAGCACCCGTCTAAGAAGCAAAGGTTGGAAAGCACCTCTATCACCGAGCAGGAGGTGAGCGACGGCGCTCCCAAGCGTGTGAAGGGCGTAGCCCCAATCAAGGCTGAGTATGCATGGACGAGACTTCCTTCTGTTGATATACCGTTACTCATGACTATAATAGGTTCATAGTTCAGAAATCCGCGCGATCCCAGCCCGTTGAAGAGAGCGCGGTCAGTCTCAGTGCCGACGATGCGGCCGAAGCCGCTCCCCACCGGGAACGAGAGGGCGAACAAAAAGGAAAGAAAAAGTTCTCCGGTCAGAACAAGGGGCGCGATTTCGGAAGATCCGAAGATGCAAAAGGTCTTTGCCCGTCAAGAGCTTTCAGCCCGGAATTCTCGCCGAAGGAATGCAAGTTCGGCGAGAAGTGCCGCTTTGAACACGATCTGCGAACATACCTGAAGGAGCATAAGCGGGAAGACCTGACAACTTTTGGTGGCATCTGCCCGATATTCGACGTCAAAGGCAGATGCCCGTATGGGTTCAAATGTCGCCTTGTGGGCTCCCACATGACTGAGCGGGATACTTCTGATGGGAGAAAAGAGCTGATCCTACTCGAGGATGAGGAGCGCAAGAAGAAAGCCCGACCGCTTGTTCCACATGCGTCAGAAGACGGCGTTGTGAATATTGTTTCAAACGAGGATAAGATTGCGGTAGCCCGGAGAAAGATAACGACTCCCAGATCTGACGCATACTTAACGTGGCTCGACAAGACGTCGAAGGCACTGGAGAAAAACCTTCATGGTCGGCAGTTAGAAGAGGGTGGAGCGGAGGAAGAAGCTGGTGCTCAAACCAAGGATCAGGTTCAAGAGACCCGAGCAGCCTACGTCGAGCCGCCATTCTTACCCTCAGAGAAGCGACGTATCTACTTTGGCCCAGAAACTCCTGCCCTAGCGCCTTTAACGACACAGGGAAATCTCCCCTTCCGGAGGCTATGTATAGATTATGGCTGCCAATTTACATATTCTGAAATGGCCATGGGCATGTCTTTGATCCAGGGGCAAAAATCAGAATGGGCGCTGATGAAAGCGCACGAGTCCGAAGCGCTTCCGCCCACAATCTCATCGACAGCCGATGTTGTGCAGGGTTATGACCACTCCAAGGATCTCAAATTCGGTGCTCAAATTGCGGCCAACAAGCCTTGGCACGCGATCAAAGCTACGGAGATATTGGGGCGCCTGACCCCTAACCTGCGTGTCATTGACTTGAACTGCGGTTGCCCTATCGACCAAGTTTTTCGCGAAGGAGCGGGTTCCGCGCTCCTTGACCATCCCTCGAAACTGGAGAAGATGCTTCGTGGTATGAATGCCGTTTCGGAGACGATCCCGATCACAGTCAAGATTCGCACGGGAACAAGAGACAACTCTCCGAATGCCACGAAACTCATTGAACGTTTGGTTCTCGGAGGTCATGAATCTAGCATGTTGAATGTCGGCCCTCCTGGCGTCGCAGCCATTACCCTCCATGGACGTAGCAGACAGCAGCGATATACGAAGTCGGCGGATTGGAGCTACATCGCCGAATGTGCCGCACTTATCAAAAGACTCAACGAGAAGACAGATGATGTCACGGATACTGTTCGAGAACCAGATGAGCGTATGCTGCCAAACGGTGGCAAGGTCTTTTTCCTCGGAAATGGAGATTGTTATTCCCACCATGACTACGACGACCATATCAACAATGCCGGCGTGGATGCCGTCATGGTCGGTCGAGGAGCAATTATCAAGCCATGGGTCTTCGAGGAAATTCAGGCAGGTCAGTACCTCGATAAATCAGCCACCGAAAGATTGGCCATGGTCGAGAAATACGCCAAGTACGGCCTAGATACCTGGGGCTCGGATGAGCATGGCGTTGGCACGACGAGACGTTTCCTGCTGGAATGGCTAAGCTTCGCCTATCGCTATGTACCGATCGGACTCCTCGAGTACCTCCCCCCTCACATCCAAGACAGACCCCTTTCTTGGAGGGGCAGAAATGAATTGGAAACCCTCCTGGGCAATTCCAGTTACAAAGACTGGATCAAAATCACGTAAGTTGTGTCTGCGCAGGAACCCTTATGAATACGATACTAATCAACCATTTCTAGGGAAATGTTCCTCGGTCCAGCGCATAAAGATTTCAAATTCGAGCCGAAGCACAAGTCCAACGCCTACGAGCCGCAAGGTTGACGGGCGGTGCCACAAAAGTATAGAAGACTAGATATAATTTTCATGGAAATAAATGTACATACTTGGATGATGTGAAAAAGTACATACCTATTTATCATGCATCAAGCTAGGACATCAAGAATTCACTAAACGACATATCCGCCCAAGGACGACCATCACGTGATACGTAGCAGATCGGAGCGGTGATGACGTCTTCCTCACACGGTCACGCCTCAAAAAAGCTGCAAAAAGACCACCTCAGCCTCCTCTTGCACTAGCATACGTAACATCATTCCTATTCCCTGCTTTCAAGAGCTTCAAGATTTGACCTTCAAGTTTTGCTGGGTATAAATCTTGCCTTTGACTCATTGCTGATACAGCCCTGAGACCTTTCCCAGCTTCTCTGACG